GYGYRATTCATGACAYGATCCCCACCACAGATGGACTTGATTGACATGTGCTAATAGACTCTGACAACTAATGTAGACATAATGTTAGCGTGCTTTAATGATTTTATTTGAATAGACAAGTAATGTTTCATAAGTCACTTTCAGTTAAGTGCGAATTCACTTGTTGACTCAATTGTACATATTGTTAACTTGTTTATCGCTTTTCAGCCATCCACTTTCAGTATATAACGTGAGTGACTTCGTTGGGTTTTTCATTCATTGCCTTCATTCATTTTAATCCATAAGTTTATTCATCACTTTACTCATAAAATTGTTCATTATTATATCGCATTCTTTAATTAAATTATTCATTCGTTCATCGATTGTTTTTTTCAATTTCGTTTGATTCACTCTGACACATTGTTCATTTGTAGCACTTGAATGTTCTTCCTTCTGCTTTCTGTCTATCCATCGACCATTCGTACACCTTCGCCTCTTCCAAGCTTGTTTCTTCCTTCGTCAACATCCTTCAAGTTCATCCTGGAAAACGAAACGAAACAAAACAAAACAAAAAAAAAGCACAAAAACGAAACAACAACAATAGCAACAACAACAACAACAACAAAAAACACAAAAAAAAAATCAAAACAGTACAAAAACGAAACAAAACAGAAAAACGAAATAAATAAAAAACGAGTCAAAATACAAATACAAAAACGAAACGAAACAGAAAAACGCAACAAAAGCGAAACAAAAGAAAACGAAACTTGTAAAGAATTAAAATAAACAAGCTGACATGCACAAATCTAGGTAAATGAAACATCCAAAATGCCGAACAAGGTAAAGACAAAAAAGCAATAGAAAACACACGAGCGAGAAAAGCAAACAAAAACAAACAAAAAACATACAGAGAAAACAAACAACCGATAACGATTAGCAAACAGCAACACAGCTGGTTAGGCGGCCATCTTGAAAATAAGCAATGCAGTCAATGGATATGGCCTCAAGGTTTCTCTCATGACCTCTCGACTCTTTTTTCCGGCCAATTTYGAAATAGGACCAACTAAATGAGGAAAACGATTTAAAAGTTACAACTGCAAAGTAAAAACACAAACAAAAACGCCGCGAAAAAAAAGACCAAAATAATTAAGCAAAAATTCAAAATAAAACAAACAAAGCAAACAAAATCAGCAATTAACTTAGAAATCTATCGTGGGACTTCCACTGTTGAAAGAAAACTGTCGCAGGGAACACTGTGGAAACCTTAAAAAGAAAAAAAAAAGTTAATAAAGGGTAATTAACACTTATGCCTCACAGGAAGCAATGTTCCTATGGCAAATAGTGACCTCAAAGACAGTCCACTTACAATAGTCAACATCGATTTCTGTAATATCGCCTACCTTGAAAGGACGTGAGCTCGATTTATTATCTTTCAACTGGAGATTTTATCGACACTAAACAGGTAAGAACAGTAAAAGSCTATATGACAATTACTCATTTGTTGATAACAGTGCTTTTGATTACTAATATTTACCAGGGCGTCTCCTAAAATTAAAACTCATTTTTTACTGATTAATACTGATTAATATYGTTTAATCTTGCCTAACACTGAGTTGCAGGAGCTCTAGTTTTGGTTTAAAAAGTAAAATTGCATTCTAAAGATATGGAAATAGTTGCGTAATCAYCCAATCTTAACAGCACTTTCCTTATAATTTTCACCCATTACTCGTTACTTTTATCATTCAAATCTTGTTTAACCATCTCTTTTTAGAATATCTTATTATCATTTCTTTTACCAAAAGTTCTTTCGTCGCTTTTAATTYACTTRATRACATTTCAAGATTTCGAGTTTTCTCTTGACACWATAATTAGTAAAAGACTTAATTCTAATTSARAACACCTGSATGTCTGCTGGGAATTTCTTCCTGATCGTCCTTCCCGCCTTTTTAATCAACACACCATTTCCTCGTCGTAAAAGMGCRGTATTACCACTGCAAACTAAAATTTTCCTTGCTAATAACAACCGTTTTTGTACGTGGTATTTCTTCTTATTAAATGAAAAGGACGAGTATGATTTGATTGCCAGATTATTCAAAACACAATAAATCCCTGATATATACCGACATCTGCAATATTAAATTAGATTTCTTGCGATATAAGTTATTAGAGAAATGTTTGATAGTTTGTTTTTGCCCCAAGGATATATTCAACGCATTCAATAAATAGGGTGCTCTTAATAAGTTTGTTTTGTTGTGATTGGATGGCTTTCTCGTTTTAAAGTGGTTTCTTGGTGATGTGTCAATCGACACCAATGAAATAACTGTCATAGATCGATGGCGTCTATTTTACATAATAAAATCAATGTATTTTAGAAAAGTGTGGGAGTGGGAGGTAGTTTAAACGTTTTTTGTTGATGCAATTAATTTTATTAATGAATTTCAATTATTATCATCATCATTATAATGATTTTTATTGAAATTCATTCTAATATATTTTGATATATTATAGTATTGGTTTATTGAAAATAAAGTTTTTCTTATCTCATCATCATTATTATTATCATTAACATCATAATTTTTATTATTATTATCATCATCATTCTTCTTCTTTATATTATCATTATCATTATCATTTCGTTATCATTACTATCATTATTATCATGGTTCTTATTCGTATTATCATTATTACTATCATCATTATATTGTTAATATTATCATCATCATCATCAGCCGATTTTTAGACTTTGCGGTGCGGATGTGGTCAATATAAATCACGAAAATTCCTTTTGAACGTCGTTAGTATTACTTACAATGTGTTTATGTTTCACGGACTTATATATCGTTATTATATCATTTTAATCGCCATCTGCACCTTTTATTACAGTTGTCTATCTTTGAACGACCACTCTCGTAAGCGACCATATCCCGTATGCGACCATGCACGTTTTAAATTTGCCGTTATAATTGTTCCCCATATAAACTCTGTAAAGAAAACTCTCTCGTAAGCGACCATCTCTCGTAAGCGACCATCTCTCGTAAGCGACCATCTCTCGTAAGCGACCATCTCTCGTAAGCGACCATCTCTCGTAAGCGACCACTTATTTCTGATTCCGAGGTGGTCGATTACGAGAGAGTTGACTGTACTTCATTATTTATTATCATATTTGTTCTGTGACATCGTCAATAATTACTATATTCCCATAACAGCATGACGCACAATATCAACGCAACCGATGTCCCAGCCATTCAAGACACGCTCACTCGTACTAGTCAAATCRGCAGCGGAGTTCTACTCGCCTTATTTGGAATCGTCGGTATCCCGAGTAACATCGTGAACTTCTACGTCTTTGTCTCGTGCACCCATCGGCACAAACTKCGAATACGRTCCTCAACGATTCGTATCCTTGGCAACCTCACAGCCGCTGACCTGATTGGGTCATGTATCAACATYCCTCTRTGTTTTTGTCTATTTACAGCGCATTTTAACGCCAAAACAACTATTAYACTATCRAGGATRCATTTCTTCATCACTTCGCCTTTTCTCATGATAAACTGCATATGTTTAATCCTTCTAAGCATTGATCGACATGACGCTATTCTCAGGTCTAATCGGTATAGACTGACCGATGGAAGACTGAAACTAGCCCTGGTGATGACYTGGGTGGTCAGCTTTGCAATTGGACTATSGGCATTCTGGAGACAGTCTAAAATCACTTTGTGGAAGCCAGAAACTTTCATTACCCCATCGCCTAATGSTTTACTTCTCGTAGCTGGAGCTCTAGCAGTTTTATGTACTTTATTTTCAAACTTCAAAATAAGAAATGCTTTRAAACCGAAGAAAAACGATGTTGTCCACCCWGCGTCTCAACTRACATTCACACGGCAAGCCGCTGAGTGTAGAGTATTGCGGGCTATGGTTCTTATAACACTTACACTAGCACTCACGTACCTACCGTGGGGAGGAGTTATGATTGTCTACAGGTTTAAGAAAATTCGTTTCCATGACGACATTTACGTCATMTGTCGTACAATGCTGCTTGTTAGTCACGTGACCCAACCTTTCATTTATTTTGGTGTGAGTCGCGAGTTTCGTCACGTGATCAAATCGTTGCTTGTATCTACGAGTGCTGTTTCGACTGTTGTACCTGAAAACTCAACTTTAAGAAA